GTCATTGAAAGTTTAGACAATTATTCCAATGGAATAAAGGATTTGAAGGTCATAGGAAAGAATCCTACCTTGTTCTCAGACCTCATCCAAAACAACCTGCCAAATGAATCACAGAAACCTGTTTTTCTTAAAACACTTGTCAAAATACACATTTTGGGTCGTAAGAGCTATGACTATTTAGTTAAAACAAGATAAACCTTCAGAATTTTCCACTAGGAAGCAAAATCCAGGGAAATATTATCTCTTGCTCTCCAAATGCAGTTTTACCATTCAAAAACTCTTACAATCAATAATTAAGCTACTGAATAATATAAAATTTAAAAAGCAAAGACTTTACCTTTTCAAGTGTTATCCCTTCCAACTGCATCAATCTCATCTCAGAATAATTTCAAGCATTATTTAAAGCAAAGTGTTAAGAGTAAATAAATACAGTGTTTTCTCATTGAAAGCTTTCGGAAAATCTATAGGATCAAAACCAATCTCTAAACACTTTATAGGAAATGTAACAGGTACATCACATGAAAGTGAGCCTTCAAGTATTTCAACAAGAATTTCTTCTCCTAACAATGTGTTTGAAGCCATCAAACTTTCCCCCCTGCTGTTTCTCAACTGATGTTAAAAATATATAACTGATAAATAGCCCTGATGACTATTTTCAAGCACTTCTGTTACCACCATTTGAATGTTTGTCATGGTTAAAAACAGTTTACAACCTGTAGTAATTGTTATAAAACTACCATCTTAACATTATTAGTGTATCAAAATATTCAAATATCTGAGAAATATTGTGAAATAATGTTGAACATATATTTATAGACAGACAGCAAAACTACTTCAAGTATGCCATAATTCTCTTAAAGATGAAGCAGGACTATTCTAGTCATAAATTTGACAGGATACAGAAGCATTTTTCCAAGGCAAATCGAATCACATGAAACACAAACCTAGAATTAAAAATAAAATAAGGCCACTAGACTTGCCATAAATCAATTAAATCTTTAAAACACAAAAGACTATACTATCTGCACTTAACTAAACTTACACCTCCACTGCATTTGAGGACTGCATTGCCTCTCTCACTCATCTCTCCTGCCAAATGTAACTCACACCGTAGGTGAGTTTCATTAACGGACAGGATAAGTATCCTTTGTAATAAAACCTAGGCCCAAAGACTTGTCTAGATCAGAGTGGGCTAACACAAAGCTGTTCTGAAGAGTTTGTGTGAAGACCGAACAAGGGTCGGCAAACAGGCCGAATCCACCTCGCTGCTTGTTTTTGTAAACAGAGTCCCCAGAACTCCCGCTCAGAGGATCTCCAGCTGCATCTGCATTACGGCAGGGTTGAGTAGTTGCTAACAGGACCACTTGGCCCAGGGAGCCCAAAGTAGTTACTATCTGGTCCTTCACTGGAAAAGTTTGCCAATATTCTAAAGGACGCTAGAAATCAAACGTCACGTTTATAAGAGAATTTCAGCGAATCTAGAAACACTGTAAGTAGAGCAAAGGGATAAACCACACAAGAGAGCTCCCCCCTCACGCCCATTTCCAAATACAGTAAATTCAAAGAAGCCTCTCCAAATTACTTAGTTTGCTGACATAGGAGTAAGGCATGGAAAGAAATTTTTAAAATACATACGTTATAATAAAGATACTTTCTTCTATAAGAAGAAATACTACTTTCAAGACTCAGGAACCAACCTTACTTTATAAAGCACACACAAAAACACACATTTATATTGTTTACAAGATCACCTTACATTATATATTTTAAGGTTAAGTAGTTTATAGATTTTTTCCCCACTTCTATTGGAGTTCATTATGATCTCCAATAGATAGACATAAGAAAATTTTAAAATGCAGTATAAATCTTAAGTGACATAACACTTTTGAAAAAAAGGACTGATTAAAAAAAGATCCCAACCCCCCAAAAAAAGGATCCAAAACCATAGGATAAGAAAGGAAGAGTATTACATTTTAGCTACCTATTCTGTGTTACACATAATCAAGAATAATCTGGTACTAAGGAATACATAAAGAGCAATTAATTTTCCAGAGTTACATTCTATTAGTTAAAATATGTATTTTGGTGACCTGTATACAACTAAATATAATTAAGAGTCTTGGAAAGGGAATTTTTAAAATCACTTTGCACAGCAACTTTCCCAAATTCAAAAAATTTAATATAAATAGAAATATCATTCACAAATATAAAAAAAAAACAAAGAAATCATCAAACCACAAGACAGAAAGAAAACTGTTGTATCCTTATAACCTGTCACCAAAACCAAATAATATGAAAAGACCAAAAAAAGGAGCCCAATGAGAACTCATCAACTTTGACTACTCAGGTTCCAACCACTCACTACTTTACACAAACGGAAACATTTTCCCAGAACCTAGTGCTCTTCGGATACAAGATAGTTTTTATCATCTGAAATATTTAAATAATACTTCAGGACACTACTGGAAAACCAAAATAGATAGTATTTCCAGAACTAATTCTTTTAGACTAGTTTATTAATGTATGAATCTGTTTTAAAAAGTTGCAACACTTCAAAAACAACTGTGTTATAAAGTCTGACTGATTGTTTTCAACTAAAATAATCAGACCATTAAAACTTAATAACATTTAGAGGAGTCCTATCACCATTTTTTAGAAATCATCATTTTATGAGTAACAAAACTATCACAGAGTAACAAGAAACTCAGGAAGTATAAGGAAAGTTAATCTTTTTATAATTATATGAAAACAATTTTAGAAAAAATTTTTTAATTGAGACACTTAAATATATATAGTCTTCTGGGGCGCCTGGGTGGCTTAGTCGGTTAAGCGTCCGACTTTCGCTTAGGTCATGATCTCGCGGTTCGTGGGTTCGGGCACCGCGTCGGGCTCTGTGCTGACTGCCAGCTCAGAGCCTGGAGCCTGTTTCAGTCTGTGACTCCCTCTCTCTCTGACCCTCCCCTGCTCACACTGTCTCTCTCTCTCCTAGAAATAAATAAAACATTAAAAAAAAAAGATTTATAAAAAAAAAAATATATATATATATATAGTCTTCAATCTTATCTGTTATGGATTATTTGATATTTAATTACATCAACATAGAAATGCTTTAAATGATGACATATTTTATTGTGTCCCCGGGCCATGCCCACTTGTCAGCCCTGAACTTGAGTTTTGTCGATACCTGTATGAGAGTCTTCAGGTCCCTGGTGCATGATAGATGTATTACTATCTAATGATACTAGACCTTGTGATGGACCTTAAACACTGGCTTTTACTAATACTACTTTTGTATTTTCCAAGTTCAAACACATTCAAAAGTCCTACGTGTACAGTTTCACCATCAAAATATATAAAACAGGAATTCAATAAATTTGCCAAAATTCTATGGTTCTAAGAAACCATATAAAAATATTCCTGTCCACATCTTAAGCATTTAACATGTTACAAATCATCACACAGACAAAATGGTAAGACAACAAAACAATGGCAAAATTGAATCCCAATTTCTTATAAAATAACTTGGGCTAAAAACTATTATTTTTTTTTTTTCTGTCAAACAACATGTTATTCTTGGAAGCAGAATATGAACCAACACGGTAAGCATTGAAAAATGATTCAAATGTGAATTACGTTTTAATTATTTATAAAGACCAGCATAAATAAGATAAAGGATGGAGCTCCACAAATTGATGCAGAAAATTCAAATGGCTTGTTCAGATACACTGAACTAATTCTAGAACACCAGAAACCTGAACATGTCCCACTTCCCTCAAGCCTGCCTGCCTGAGCTCTTTCGTATCCCACTTACAATCCAGCCAGGACAGACACCTCCCTTCCCAGGAACACGGAGATTCTGCAGCAGATCAGTTTCTTGTTCACCAACCAATCCAGTGCCACCTGCCAGAGGACAGGTCCACACTGGCAGAGGTTAAGGGGAGTAAAGCAAAGAGCAGGGGGAGGGAGAAGAGGGGCGAAGCAGGGGAGGAAAAAGGAAAACACGCCCCACCAGACGTTCACAGGGCCTTCTCTGCTTCCTTGGTGGCATTGTCTCAAGGCAAAAACTCTCTTAGAAAAAAAGTCTGAGCTCTGACTCAGACCCCCAAGTGCCTCATCTCCATGGTCATGGCCAGGGTCTAGAGAGGAGTGAGGAAGGCCCGCTCCCAACAAGCTGAGTCAGAACTCTGGTTTTGTACTAAAACTCTGCTACAGAAGGTGACTGGGTTCTAAGCTAGTGTTCTAAGCTTTTTAAGACTTTCTTTGAAAACATGACTAGTTGGAAGATATAAATGCCCTCAAATTTTACATCATTTCGCAGAGTTTGTGGACTTCAGCCTAAGACACCCTTGCCCCAGAGTACTATCCTTGCTGAAGTTTAGGAATGCTGCACACGAAGAAGACTCCCCAGCAGGGCTAGGGACCAAAGTCTGCACGACATTTGTTCTAAGGGAAAGTATGAGTTCAAAACAATGTTTTACAAAGAAATTGCTCAAACACAACCCTATCACAAAATACGTCAATATAGTTCTAGGGTAATTAACTCCAGTTATATTACAAGGTAACTGAATGTTTTTAAGAAAGTCCTTGGGATGCTAACAGGTATGACCCTATGTTAAGAGGGCGGAACTATTACATTGCCGCTCCAAATGTACAAAACCAGTTCCAGATCAGTACTTTCTAATGCCAAGCATCTTTACATTGTACTTTCAGAAAAGGCACTTATGTGACTTTTAATGAATGGAACGTTACCCTACGGATACAATGACAGTAATAAACAGTTATAAAAGTTACGTTTGCTATCAAGTTACACAGAACAAGAATTAGAGCACAGAATAATTCTTCTAACTTAATTTTTTCGGTCATTTTATACCACACTGATTTTTGCTGCATTCAACTGAGCAATTCAGGATCAATGAATTAACAGCACTGAGGAACAGACATGTCATATACACCTACTTATCAACTGTTTTCAAACCAAAACTATAGATGTGAGTACTTACTTATCAAAGCTATCACTATTTTTGATGAAGCTCTCCAGCTTTTCCTTGGCGTATTCCACCACATCTGAATGAAGCTCAATCCCATGATTTATTCCAAAAGGACCTGCAATTGTAGCAGCAGCAGCGTTTTTATAAAATACATATATGTATATTAATAATATGTCTTTACAGAGTTCTTTTAACTTCTTCTCACTTATCTACCACAGGAGCATTTAAAGAAGGCGTGAACATCCGCTAGCCAGATTTAAAAGGCTGAAAGGAAACTAACTATGTATATGACTTTAAATAAAAAAAACAAAAACAAAACAAAAACAAAACAAAACAAAAAAAAGACTAAGTTACAGAGAGTTCTCTCAAGAGAGGAGCTTATCTGTCAGGACAATATTGACAAAGAAATAAACATATTCCTATACAAAGTTTTAAGTCCTTTAATATTACATTTTCATTTGTTATTTGTTTAAACATGTAGTAATTCTGACACGCCTAAAGCCATGGGCTAACGTGGCTACTATACAAATGTCTCACACCACCCCACTACATGCCAAGGTCCTCCATTCTATGCCTTCTGGAGCTCCCAATGTCTAGCAGAATGTGGCCATCAGAAGGCAGGACCGCAGAGCAGATTTCACTCCTTTGTTCCAGCATTTCACACTTCACTTAGCATTTCTTTTCACCCATCGCCATGGATGAGTGGCATTCTACAAATGAAGAAAAGGAGAGCTTTCTGAGCTCCCGGAGACGGTAGTGGGGTGGCACCCTGGAACACTCTGAGAACATGACCAACAGGGTCCACATTTCCTGAAGCTACTGTGCTTTCCGCCAGCCCTGTGATGCACACGAATGTAACACACTATCTCATCTAGGTAGGCTAGTTGTTTTTTAACTTCCAAAACTGAGCCAGAGTTCTCTACTCTATACTTCTGTTATATTTTTATTTTGAAATTGGTCTCCTAAGAAAAAACATCTGTTATGTATTTTCCCTATCTTACATGTACTTATTTCTGTATCTTGTATCTTAGGAACTAATTACCTGGAGATAACCCCCTAATGAATGTCATTAAAATACAATATGTTGTGGAGTTCTACTGACCTCAAAGATTTTTTAAGTAACAAAAAAATCAGTCATCAATTATCATGTTTGAGGGCACATGAGGTAAAAAACAGCTTATGATCTACAACTACCTAAACTAGAAATGCTAAACCAAAATATTTGGATACTGTCTTCATGCCAAAATCAGATAATGCTTTAATGTACTATATTTGTATATTCCATTTGATTAGTATTAAAAAACAAACTCATTCTACTTGAAAAATGTATTCAGATACAGTTAAATAAAAAGGTACTTAATTCATCAAAACTGTACAAGTAGAATTAACTCCCTTTGCAATGTTTTTATACTTTTGATGCAATCTTAAATGTTTGTTCTTGTCTCCATACAGTCGAACAGTTGGGTCTCCATCTGAAAATCTGAACATCCTACCTGGTATCATTTAAAACCTCTTGTAATTCCTATGGGGCACCTGGGTGACTCAGTTGGTTAGGCGTCCAACTTCAGCTCACGTCATGATCTCACAGTTGTGGGTTCGAGCCCCGCATCGGGCTCTGTGCTGACAGCTAGCTCAGAACCTGGAGACTGCTTCCGATTCTGCGTCTCCCTCTCTCTCTGACCCTCCCCTTCTCATGCCGTCTCTCTCTCTCTCTTACTCTTAGAAATAAATAAAACATTAAAAAAAAAAAAACCTCTTGTAATTCCTAATTATTACCATAAAGTAAACAAAAATGACCGGTTTTCAAAAATAAAAGTGGCAAAATAAACTGAGAGAATACTTGAGGACATCTGTTTTTAATTTATATTGAATCTGAATACTTTAATAACTTGAATTTCCATAAGGAAACAAAGAATGCTAGGAAACAGTGAATAAAGTTTTCCTCATTAAAAAAACTCAAATCACAATTACTTAACATTATGCACATAAGGAAAATACTGTTCTATGAAATGAATTCCTTTTACCGCTTTAAGGTGATCCATAATATGTAAAACAGAAACTTCTACATTTTTTTTATCCATTAAGAATCTAGTTATACTAATCAAAATTCTTATGAGAATATTGCTATTCTCACAAGATATTGCTAGAATCTGAAGTGTCCTGTTAAGACCAAATGCGTAAGTCTGTATAATAACATGTCAAGTAAAGAATCTGGAAATCAAGGCTCCTATTCAGGATTTTACACTGCTTTAAGAAAAGGAGTCTGACCTTGAGTTCTATTTCAAAGGGACTAACTACATCGGTGGTTAATCACTTAAGTCTCTTTTTCCTTTCCGGGCTTTCTGCTTATTGTCTAAAACCAAAGTGGCAACTTTTGGAAATAAGCTTAAAGTTCATTTAGAAAATTACTTAAGAATGTTTCCCACAAAACTTATTTTTCACATTACCTTGGCATAAACCATTTCATTAATATATAAAGGATTTGACAACACCATAAACAGACATGCAGAATAGATTATGTAGTAACATCTAGTGCAAACATGCCATTTATGATTTTTTAATGAACAAAATTTAGATAACATGGAAACATATCTTTACCACTAATAAGCTGTATAATTAACATATTAAGAATAAGTTTAAAAGAATGCATTAATAAAAGACAGAACTTAAATAGCAATGTCACCAATACCTCATTTATTGAGAATGTAATATACAACTAGAACATTTGATAGAAAATGTAGTGTGATGCTGTTTATTACAACTCATATTTGACATGTATATTAAATAGAACAGAAAAATAAAACCTAGAAAACTAAGAATACATACACAGCTACTTCCAAGGAAAGGGACTCAGAGACCTAGGGTGCAAAGGAGACATTTCCATCATTATACCCTTTTGGCTAAAGTACCAAGACTATACCCATATATATAACTTTTTCAATCAAAAAATAATAGGCTAGTCAAAGAGATGACAAAAAATAGTCTTCAGATTTTCAAATTAATAAAATAATTCTAACAGAAAGGTACAATTGAAAAAAAGAAACAGTATCCAAAAGAGGGCATGTCAATGCTTTCTAGCACCATCTAAGAGATATAGTATAAATAAATGTAACTTTGTATTCACTAGTTCCCAATTCTATTCTGCATTTGCCAATATGAAGAGGTTTTTCTGTAAAATAATAAAGGATTCATTTTTTGTAATACATATTAAAAAAATAAAAGTACTTATACAGTTGACCATTATCTTTAATAGCTAAACATTAAAGAAAAAATAGAAATATACACAGAAATCAAAGTTTAATTAAGACAAATAGCTATTAGGAAAACCTAGGGGCACCTGGGTGGCTCAGCTGGTTGAGCGTCAAACTTGGGCTCAGGTTATGATCTCACAGTCTGTGGGTTTGAGTCCCGTGTTGGGCTCTGTGCTGACAGCTCAGAGCCTGGAGCCTGCTTCAGATTCTGTGTCTCCCTCTCTCTCTCTGCCCCTCCCCCGCTCCGCGCTCTCTCTCTCTCTCTCTCTCTCTCGCTCTCTCGCTCTTGAAAATAAACATTAAAAACAAAAAAGGGAAAACCTAGGTATCCAATATTAGAAATGATTTTTAAGGCTGAGAAAAGCCGATTTTTTAAGAGCAGTAACAAATATAATAAAATTTCAATACAATAAAATCTAGAGACTATTTTTCCTTTGTCATAGTTGGATCTAATCTAGCTCATTTATCATCTATCGGTCAATAATCAAAGCTTGTATGTTACGTAAAGGTCGATAATTACTAGGCTTCGGTGTCTATGCAATAGTGATATCTCTTTCTTACATCAATGCTGACCCTACGTGACACTCCATACTGCAGCTTCCTTCTCTGAGGCACCCCAAAAGGCTGTCTGACTGCTATGCAGAGTACAGCTGGCCTGAGGGAGGCCAGGGAAATCCAGAAGGCTTCACACAATGTTGTAATGAAATCTTCAGTGCCTTCAGTATTTTGTATAAAGCTAATATACAGAACACAGCTAAAGGCAAAAAATATTTCATGATATGTAACTAGAAGAGCTCTCAAGATGAACTAATTTAAGATCCATCATTTTAACCAAGAACTCTGAGATCTACATTCATTCCACAGAGTGGTAGGAAAGAATAGTGGATTTAAAGTGAGAGGTCTTAACTTCCAATCCTGGTTTCTCCTCTAGCTGTATAATCTGAGACCAGTCACTTACCCAGGGAAGTCTCCCTATTGCATAAAATGGGTTCCTGGGAAAATCAGGTAAATTATGTAAAAGTGCTTCACAAACTGTAAAGTGCAAGGTGGTAAAAGTTATTAGAAATTATAACATGCCCCCGCTTTGTGTACAGAACTGATTCGTCATAGAAGCAAAACTATACCTGTAAGTTCTCAACCCTGACTGCATACCCGGCAATGTTTCAATTATATTAAAAACAGATTAAACTAAATTTACTTATTTTGAGAGAGAGCAAGTCGCAGAAGGACAGAAGAAAGGGGGAGAGAGAGAACTCCAAGCAGGCTCTGTGTCAACACAGGGTCTGATTCGGGACTGGATCCCATGACCCTGGAACCAAGACCAAGAGTCAGATGCTTAACCCACTGAGCCACCCAGGTGCCCCTAAATTTGATGTAAACTGTAAATTCTTGGTGCAGTGCCTGGGGGGCTCAGTCAGTTGAGCGTCCGACTTCAGCTCAGGTCATGATCTCATGGTTCGTGGGTCCGAGCCCCAGGTCAGTCTCTGTGCTGACAGCTCAGAGCCTGGAGCCTGCTTCAGATTCTGTCTCCCTCTCTCTCTGCCCTTCCCTCGCTCACACTCTGCCTCTCTCTCTCTCTCAAAAATAAATGAACATTTAAAAAAATTTTTTTGATTAAACTGTAAATGCTTGGTTCCCACCCCAAAGAGAGAAAGGGAATCTCTTGGGGTGTGGCCTACGCCCTACAGATAACCTTACACACAGCCCAGGTTGAGCACACTAGCCCCATCCTCCTGATTTTTAAAATCTCTTTGGACTACTATCCAAATCTCTGTTCTCATTGGTAAAGTGTTACCAAGAATTAAGAACTACCATGAAAGCATGTTGGATAAAACCAAGTATTTACCACAAGAGGGAGCAAGTG